AGTGTGAGTGTGAATGCATGTGAATGTGAGTGTGAGTGAAGAGTGAGGTGTGAGCGTGTGTGAGTGAGTGAGACTAGTGAGAGTGAGAGAGTGAGCATCTGAGAGCACTTAGCGCTGTGCCTGCCACGAAATCTGCACTTCGAGGTTCACCCAGCGCTGTGCCTGCCACGGAATCTGCAGTTCGAGGTTCACCAAGCGCTGTGCCTGCCACAAAATCTGCGCTTCGAGGTTCACCAAGCGCTGTACCTGCCACGAAATCTGCACTTCGAGGTTCAACAAGTGCTGCGCCTGCCACGAGATCTGCACTTTGAGGTTCACAAAATGCTGCGCCTGCCACGGCCACGAAATCTGCACTTCGAGGTTCACAAAGTGCTGCGCCTGCCACAAAATCTGCACATCGAGGTTCACAAAGCGCTGTACCTGCCACGAAATCTGCAAACGAGCCACATGTCCAAAAGTCACGATCCAGTGCACCCTTGGAACAAGTGGGCAGGAGTCCGGCAGTACGGCCTCGGCCACTTTAAATGAGCTGCCAGAAGTCACGGGACTCTGAGGCTTCAATGCAAAGCTCTAGGACTTTGTGGTATTCTCCAGCGGACCCTGAATTCTTCCAGCTGGTTCAGGCGTTGTTCCACGGTCATCGCTTTCGGCGCCATCTGGCTCGTTTTTGAACACAATTTGGCCCATGCTCCGACGGGTGTCCTGAACAGCATGCGCACAGAAACTTCTACGGAGAGACGCAGCAGCGTCCTGCGTTTCGTGTCTGCGATATCCACGGTTGACCGAACGTAAGCGCAAGTCTGTCAAAAAAACACTCGTCTCGCCCAACGTGTGGCACGGAAAATTGATTATCCTGTGAGGTGTGGGTTGAGAAGGGAAAAATCAAATAAACCAAAATCTATAAAAAGCAGATTGACCTCAGATAAAGTCTGACTCGATAGAGGTAGGTGCCATGTGTCTTACCCACCACGGTCCCAGCGCAATGACTATCCTGTTTAAGAAAATTAAGGAAGCGTGCAGTCTGTTTACGGCACAAGGCTAAGAACCCACAAAAGTTAACGATAGAACAAAGCAGCTACCATGGCATAAAGTTGGTCAAAACAGAAATCTCCCCAGGGGCCTCAATAAACAACATTTTGTCCGGTCGCCGATGGAACGACGGGAGAGTAGACGACTAAGAAAGCGAAGGAGAGGGAGAGGGGCAAGGACGAGGGAGAGAAGCAGGAAGAGGTGGTCCTGAAGAACTGAAGGAAGACGACAGTATGTGGTTGGCGACAAGCGCGTACATACTGCCACAAGGGCCGCAGGTCTCCCGACAAGCGGGACCTGGGCTTAACGTTTACAGGACTTCTCATGGACGATCCTGCTGCCGAAGGAGGAGAACTTGGTGGAGCAGCGTTGACAGGTCAGGTTGGCCGCCAAAGAGCCACGGCCGACGTCTTCGTGTTTGACTCTAGCCGCGACAGTCTGGTGGGTGGAAGAGCATTTCTAACAGGTACGGCCTTGACACTACCGCGACACACAGCAGAGTGTTGATCCTTGGAGGAAACAGCGCACCTGGAAGAGCGCTGAGGACACTTCCACATACTTTTAGTGGGCGGAAGGGTGTCGGGGGCCAAAGCTTGACACTTGGCACGGCGTTGCCAGATAACATCGTCAGAAGCGGAGAGTTCAAATTGATGCGAGCACATCGGGCAGATGCGAGTGTCGGCGTCTGAGCCGCGACATATTTTTTCATGTTTCGAGCGGAATTCTCTGGCATGGTGCGGTTGCTTGCGACCAGCGGAGAGTAGACGCCAAGCGAAGGCTTTGCCGCAGCCTCGTCGACACGGGATAATAGCAGCCGGGGGCTGCCGGGGCCTTTACAGTATGCTTCGTGGCCGGCCAGCTGGCGTGCGTGAGAAGCACCCGTAAAGACACGGCCGCAGCGCCAGCAGGAATCTGTGAGGAGTGGGTCAACTGGTTCAGGGGCGCCGCGGGGCGCCCATGGGCAGCAGCCAGCGGGCGCAGTGTCGAGTCTGTTTGCCCGCGGCGCCTTGCTCTGCCAAATGATCGGCATAATCGTTGCCCAAATTCCCAGAATGTCCCCGGACCTTAGCCCAGCAAATGAGACGTTTGGCCTTGGCGCGCTCCAAGACACGCTGACCTTCTTCAATGAGCTCCTGGTTGGCCGTCGGTGTAGCGGTACCAGTTAGGACATCATGCGAATAGGTGAAGTCAAACAAGATCATGGCCGGAAGGTCCGGCGCGCCAGGGGCTTCTTGTTCCAACCACAGCAGAGCCTC